GCAGCCCAGCTCCAGGTTGAGCTGTTGTTCAGCATTTTAGCTGTGGAGAGCAGTGTCACTGGTCCTCATATGTGGGATCCGAACCAGGGCCCTCTGGCGTTCCAAGCCATTTTTTAACCATCGCGCCACTCGGCCGGCCCTATGACATTTTTAAAACTAATATTCTAAATGGAATAACAAAAGGGTATTGGAAAAAATTCTAGAGGTTTTCGGACACAGGCTAACATGCAGATCTTATATTTTCTTTTGACTTTGGCGTTTTATTTTCAAAAACAACTGTTTTTTTTTTCTTGACTCAGTTTTAAAATAATGTTCTTAGAAACTGTTGTGTTGAACAAAATTTAATTAGAATATGTTTTAGTGGACCACCATTCTTGACCTAAGTAAGAAAATATTTCTATATTTTTGCATAGCAGCCAGTCTACATCTATAATCATTATTTTTATGAATTAAAAGAGTGCAGAGCATCATTCATTGCTTTTTTACTCACCGTGGAGGTATGAATTTTTCTTCATGTACTTCATGCTTAAGAATTTAAACATTTTAGATGATAATTGTAATAGATAAATCCATTAGCATCTCACAAGAGTATGTAGATTATAATTTCACTTTTCTTAAGGGATAGCTTGAAGCATACTGGCTTTGAATTTGGGCAGAACTAGATTCTGGCCTTGACCCTGTTGTGAGTGTATTCTGGCCTTGACCCTGTTGTGAGTGTAATCAAGGTATTAAACCTCTTTGGTGTCTGTTCCGCATCTGAAGAATGGGGGTAATATTGTTACCCCATTAATAGTTAATAGTTTATTAATAGATATTAATAGTTTGAGGGATTGTTAAGGATTAGAAATGAAGAATTATACTAAAAGATACAAGCATAGTACCTGGAACAAAGGAACTTAAAAAGAGATCCATATTATTATATTATTATCATAAGTATTTTACCTATATTTATATTGTGCTGCCCTATTATGGGTTGATGCCCTATGGCAGGGGTCGGCAAACTGTGGCTCGCGAGCCACATGCGGCTCTTTGGGTACATACATGTGAGCAATTTTCTATGTGAATTTTTTTTATTTTAATGGGTATAATTAATACTATTACTTGTTATAATATTACTTTAAATTTTCCTTATTTGTAAAAATATATTTATGGTTCTTGAATAATATTTAAATTGTTGCAAAGGACAGGATTGGCTCTTCCATCTCAAAAGTTTGCTGACACCTGTCCTATGGTGCTAATAAGAATTTGTGCTTTGGGCCAGCTGATTGGCGCGTTGGTTAAGAAGTTGGCTTGGGAGCACGAGCTCTGAGCAGCAGGGCCCCGGTTCGGATCCCACATGAGGGCCAGTGA